GTAGTAGTAGTAGTAGTAGTAGTAGTAGTAGTAGTAGTAGTAGTAGTAGTAGTAGTAGTAGTAGTAGTAGTAGTAGTAGTAGTTATCATGAGGGGGCCACTTAGGTATTTCTTCTTTACCATCCCTCTTTTGTTTCTGACAGCCTGACTTGCTTTTTCTAATCCTGGCCTTTTGATTTTTATGAACTTTGTCGTCTCTGTTTGCTTCTCTCTAACTCTCAACGCAGCAATGGGAAAACTACGACCTGTAAACGTTTGCAAATTGCCCATAATAAAGAATGGCATATTCTTTTATTGATGATGATGATGATGATGATGATGATGATGATGATGATGATGATGATGATGATGATGATGATGATGATGATGATGATGATGAAAAAAGAAAAAGAAAGATTGCTAACAGTTTCAGTCTTGCCCATGAGTCAACGCAGTAATTAATAATGAATGTTGCCCGCTGTTCGTGGATAATTAATAAAAACAAAAGTGCCCTTCTTGAACATCAACGTTGATAGTTTCTGGCCAGCTTGAAACTATAGATCCAATATTGCGTTTTTAGAAATGCCCTTGAGTAATGTAACAGTATGCTATAGCTCCAGATTTTGCTTCATATTTGAGAGCTTGAGTATTCCAACCGACTTTCCCTAAGCTTCTCCTGTTTTGGTCAGCGATATATTTTAATGGCTTTACTCATTGGTGGCATGCACTCCGGTCATTTACATAGTCTTTGTTGTTTTTTGCTGTTTGGTTTTTTTTTCGGGGTTTTTGTTTTTGGTTAGTTTTGCTTTATTTTGTTTTAGTTGTATTTTGTTTTTGTTTTGATTTTGTTTTGTTTTTTGGTTGTCTTTGTTGTTGTTGTTGTTTTTTTGGTTTTTTTGGGTTGTTGGGGTTTTTTTTTGGTAAGTGTTACGGCACTCGAAACTGCATAAGGTCATATGAGCGCACAGCACACACTAAACATTTTCAGATTGGTAGAAATTAATTTTGAATTTTGCCCGGGTGGTGGCTGAAGTCTACTCTTATCGATTTTGGCCCACCAAGGGATCTTTCACGTGCGTAACTTGCACACGGGATCTCCGAGATTTTTCGGTGAAGGCTAGGTGTTAGATCTTACCTCCCAAAAGCTCAGAGGTGGGGCAAGCAGTAGCAATAGAAAGGCTGCAGAGAGAGTCAGGAGCCCGAGGAAGGGGCCAAGGGGGAGGGGGTTGGGGCAGAAATTGAAGACGAAAGCAGACTACACAACATGGTTAGGGAGAAAAACGGGTGTGAAAGTAGAACATTTTAGAGAAAAAAAAAATCTGTTGCCGCCAGGTTTCGAACCCGCGTCCTAATGAATGAGAGGCAAACACCTTAACCTCTAGACCACGAGAAACCCCCTCCCCCCACCCCCCGCCCACCAAAGTATGACTTCGGTATGTACACAGGTTTTTCATTTCTGTTTCATAAAGGCAAGAAACACCTTTCATACATACATACATGTACTTCTAATACAATGAAACATGCAAATTTGTGTTTCAGATGTTTCTGATTTGTGCGTCACGGTATGAAAAGTGCAGGTTGTATTTTGTTTTTGTATTTGTTTTTGTTTTTGTCTTTATTTGTTGTTGGTGGTCGCGTTTCGTTTGTGTTTTTGTTGCTGCATTTTTCTTTGTTTGTTGTTTGTTTGTTTGTTTGTTTGTTGTTGTTTGTTTTGGGGGGGCGGTTGTTCGTTTGTTTGTTGTTGTTTCTTTTATAATCGAGCAAAAACTTGTTTTTATTTATCCAATTGTATTTATATTAGAAACCTATATCCATTCTATTCCAGGCAGGCACAAAATAGGGGCATTATAAAATGGTAAAAATGTAGGGGCAATATGCCCATACAAGATTTAGCAATGCATGGTCACTTTTGTGAAATCAAAAACCTTTTAGAATTTAAAGATCATCTCACTGAAAACTTGATTTAAAATATGCAATAAAGACGTTTTGGCGGTACTGTTGTATGGTTCGGAGAAGTAAAAAAACAACAGACAAAGCGATTCAACGAAAATTTAAAAGCTTTCAAACAAAATGTCTTATAAGAGTTTTATGTATAAAATAACATTAATCTGTTTCAAATGCTGAAGTGTTGGATAGAGTTGGGATTGAAGATATCAACATGACCATAATTACCAGAAGGTAAGGACATATGGGACATGTTTTGAGAATGCCAGAGACAAGATGGCCCTATCAAACATGGTGTTGGAGACCAAATGGAAAAAAGAAAAACGATCAGGGATGAACCACACACGAGGGCCTGGATGTGCCGAGGTTAGAGGAGGTGGCGGGGACAGACACGCATGTCTCAACTGCTCTCTGTCTTGTGTACCAGACGGTACAGGGAGAGAGAGAGAGAGAGAGAGAGAGAGAGAGAGAGAGAGAGAGAGAAGGAGAGAGAGCGAAAAGGAGAGAGGGAGAGGGAGAGACAGACAGACAGACAGACAGACAGACAGACAGACAGACAGACAGACAGACAGACAGACAGACAGACAGACAGACAGACAGACAGACAGACAGACAGACAGACAGACAGACAGAGAGTGGGAGATAGAAAGTTAGTCAACGTATCGGTTTCAACTCCCTCCTTCA